TGGTTTCAATTAGCCCTAGCTCCAGCTATTTGTACCCTGGTATAATCTCTTCCCTTTGAGCCTGGGATAAACCTAAGGACTTGCTTGTAGAAGGTAAAAATGATGGATGTTACTTCTAAGATTAGCTTACAAAAAAGACTGACTTCTGTCTTGTTTACCCTCTTATGTGCACTCGCTTGCTCACTTGGCTGAAGCCAGCTCTCCTCTGTGAGCTGCCCTGTGCAGAGTCTCCTTTTGCAAGGAACTGAGGGAGTTGGGGCCAGTGGCCCATGAGGAGCTGCATCCTGCCCATAACCTCAGGGGTGACTTTGATAGTGGATCCTTCCCCAGTTGATCTGACCAGCTCTTTGACAGACCCTGAGCTAGATGACCCAGCTAAGTCTTGCCTAGATTACTGATGTCCAGAAACTGTGAGATAATTCACATTTGTTTCTTAAAGCCCCTGAATTGTGCGGTTATTTTTTAGGTGACAATATGTAACCAGTGCATTTCAAAGAGGACTTAGAGGAGAGCCCAAGATCCATTATCTAAGCTGAATCTTGCAGACAGCCTATGGAAGGACTAAAGCACTGTGATTAAATCATGTTTTAGAATGGCAGTATAAAAAATATTGATTTAATTGGGAAGAAACATAGGTTATCTTGGAGGAAGCCCCAAATCTCAAATCCACGGCTCGGAGGAAAACGTTAGGGGTTTTTATGAGATAAAGACACAGGGTAGTCTGAGGCCTGGGAAAGGGAAAAGTGAGGTCATAGGCAGTCTGTGCCTGCACAGTGAAACTTCATGGCTCTTCATAAGTGCACAGGAAATGGTGATAACTAGCAAGGTCTGAGGATGGAGATTTGGAAACTCTGATGTCAAAAGGTCACCCATTGGATGCCTGCCAGCCCCTAATGAAGGGTTGCTGGTTTCAACCAGTTTGAGATAGACAAAAGCAGCCTCTAAATTCCTTAGAACTACTCAAACAAATGTTATTGTAGTAGGCATTCATCAGAGGTGTTCTCACAAACGTTTACATTTGCATTTGTGTGTGTATAACGTAAATTTTACAAAGTAGTACTTATATTGCACAAAACCAGACTTAATTTCCATGTGCAATGAATGCACTGTGATGTTTTCTGTTCTGTTCCAGTTTTCCAAAAATGCCGAGGTCTGTCTTGAAAAAGATTATTCTTTATCGGTCTCTTGAAGGAGGCATTCTATTGGGATTACTGGGGTCTAAGACAATGTTGATGCTGAATTAGGACAGCAGTATAAGTAAAGAAAGCATGGACTTTGCACTAAGCAGCAATTTCAGGAGTCACTGAGAACAAAATTCTGACTTTTAAAAACAGAATAATGGAAATAATGTAAAAATCATAACTAAAGATCTGAAAAGAAGTTTGAGGACACATATTTGAGATAAATGTTAATAACTGGGAACAACTTAATGGGAGAGATGATCTATGGCATTTTATATTTGATATTGTTGTTTGCATTAAAATCCCATTTAAAATATTTTTTATAAACCCAATAGTCATTATTCCTTTAAGAAAATGTGAGGGCATAGCAGAGGCTATTTCTAGAAGAAGACACTAATGCATAAAGATAATACACTTTTTAGCAAAGTCAAAAATATTTTTTATGTAGCACCTATATTTCCAGTGGAGAAAACTCTTATGTGCATTAGTTATCTTTAGAATTTCTTTGGTGTCAAAAAAAAAAAAGAATTTCTTTGGTGTCTCTAAACGATTTTTTGGTCATTATATTTTGATATTCAGCTTCTCACCTCTTGTTCTGCTTAGAGTA